TTGTTGTTATGTGCCGTCGAGTCGGCCCCGACTCATAGCGACCCCTCCTTGGGTTTCCGAGGCAGTATCACTACGGAAGTAGGATTGCCCAACAACATTGGGAAGAGTGATTATTCAAGTGTATTTCTCATACAATGGAAAACTATACAGCTGTACAAAAGAAAAAAGAAAAAAAAAAGAATGGGATAGTTCTCTGTGTATTGATATGGAAAGATCTCCAGGATATATAGTTTAAGGGGGGTTGGGGAGAGAATATATGCTATTTGTTTTTAGTTGCATAAAGAAAGCTTCAAATGACTCGCTGTTTTGTTGTTGTTGTTGTTGTTAGGTGCTGCTGAGTTGGTTCTAACTCATAGAGACCCCACTCACAATGGAGTGAAACACTGCCTGGCCCTGTGCCATCCTCACAATGCTTCAAACCATTGTTGTAGCTGCTGTCCATCCATCTCACTGAGGGCCTCCCCCTTCTTCACTGACCCTCTACTTTACCAGGCATAATATTCTTCTCCAGGGACTGGTCCCTTCTGACAACATGAGCAAAGTATGGGAGACCAAGTTTAGCCATTCTTGTTTCTAAGCAGCATTCTGGCTGTACTTGTCCCAAGACAGATTTATTCCACTACTGGTCTGTCTGTCTGTTGTACTATGGTGGCTTGCCTGCTGCTGTGATGGTGGAAAAAATGCCACTGGTATTTCAAATACCAGCAGAATCACCCATAGTGAACTAGGACAGACTAGGGAGAAGGAAGTGGTAGTTCATTTCTGAAAAAATTGGCTACTAAAAACCTTATCAATAGCAGTCAAAAAGTGTCTGATATAGTATTGGAAAAGTATGAATAGCAGTGAAAAGGATTCACTAGGAAAGAATAAAAGTGGCTACCTCTCTGGGGAACAGGGTAGATGGGAGCAGGAATGGGAGTAAGAGTCTTCATCAATTAACTTTTTATTCCTTGACTTTTGAACCATGTGAATATGTTACTTCTTTAAGTCATGAAGATTTCTAACATTGCTGAAGGCACAGAGTAATTACCCTTCAATCCAGTTTTTCAACTAGCACGTAGTAGTAATATATAAACAATGATATAGATAAAATTTTAAAACTTTCAAGGTTATGTGGACTTATACCGTGATGTTTTCATTAGTTTCTTCTCTGCTTAGTTATTCTACTTATGCTTCATGAAAATGATCATAGTACTAATTCTGTGTCCTGTGTATTATAATTATTATTTAAAAAGCTCAAAAAAAATTTCAGAGCTGAGAAAAAAAAGATTAGTGGATTCCAAAATTGGCCCCACAGTACAATTACACGGCGAGCTACCAAACAAGATCATCAGGCCTCACCCCAGATTTATCAAATCAAAACTTTGTTGGGGTGAGGAGAGTAGAGGGCCAAACCTGGGAAACTATTTAAAATAAAACAAAACGAAAAGGAAAGGAAACAACAGAAATCTCCCTGGGCCAATTCTAACATACTTGGGAACCAGTCTCTACTCCTCTGCACACATGAGAGAACTAGGTTTCAAAGAGATGAGGAACTTTCTCAAAGTTTCACCTCAGGGAAGAATAAAGCTAGCATTTGAACACTCATGAACACCCACCTGCGTCTGCCTTTCTCAACTCCCTCTGGATCAGCTGACAGTGAAGGACCCAAAAGAAAAAAGATGTCCTATAATGTCACAGAGGACTTTTGGTCTGCTTTGTATCACACTCAGGTTTTAGAGTTCTTCCTTTGTGATCAACTAATATCCATTTAGGTTTTCTTGTTTCTCTTCTTTTCATTTTTCATTTATGGAGAGTAACTGTACATCTGCCTAATTGTAAAATACTTTGTATGTTTTATACTTTTCCTAGAGCTTCCTGTGGAAAAGCTGCCAATGGTCTAGGACAGAGATTGACAAACTACAACACGTGGGCCAAATCTGGTCCACCACTTTTATTTCTCAGTAAAGTTTTTTTGAAACAAAGCCATGATCATTCATTTTCATATTGTCTATGGGGTTTATTCCTCCCAACAGCAGAGTCGAATAACTGTTAAACTACCTGGCTCTTTACAGCAAACATTTACCAACTACTGATTTTAAATCATGAAAATTACCTACTTTTCATTAAGGACAGAGATGGTAATGAGAACCTCATTTTAGTTATGTTGCAATGATAGTCAATTCTTTAAGTGGAGAGGATAACTAGCAACAAAGAAAGACTGGAAGAAAAGGAAGAAAAACTAAAGGTCTACAAACAAAAGATCTATAAACTAGGTAACCAGGCCCTAACTGCATGATAATCATTACAAATCTGTGAAATGGGAAGCTGAAAGCTGGACCTGAAGGGGGACCAGGTGAGAGCCTGCCCTGCCTCCCAGCCTACCTGTTCTGCCAGCCAGGCAATGTGCTTGACCTCCTTGCTGCCTCCTGCTGTACTGGTTGCACCAAGCATGGCATTGAATTCAGCCAACACCTGTGGGAGGAGAGCCATTATGTTGGTGTGGATAGCTACGAACCAGGAGTGTGCTGTGGCTGTATCCTTGCACCGTAGGATCAAGGTATTCCTGCTATCAGGAGAATGTAGCTCTATCAATCTGTGAGGGGGAAAAAGAAAAAAAAAAAAAAAGTGAGCTTGATCAGAAGTTGTCAAACCTGCCAAAGTTTTTACATATTTCAAATCTATTTCAATTTTAAATTCCTAGAATAGAGGTATTTTCTCTTAATTCCGTGGAGTCCATTTTGCGAGAAAGCCCTGTATGGAAGGATAATCATCAGAAAGATGCTTATTTCAATGTGTTAACGTCATGATCTAAGATGAAGTAACCTATCGTAGAGTGTGTAGTCAAGCACTTCACTTTGCCTTAATTTCATTGCCATCAAAAAATGGAAAGCATACTTGTTGAACCTTATGGGCATGTTGTAAATAAAGAAAGAATTGATCTTTTTCAAAATACTTAGATAATTCTGGTATAGGTATTTCCAGATTAAGAAACAAAACAAAAAGCTATGGCCAAATAATGAACTGAAATTCCCCCTATGGAAAGAAAAGAGAGATTAGTAGAATAATATTACTTTTTGTGAAAATTTGGAACTTTTTTAGTGTCTGGATAGCATTATATGATTAAATCCTCCACTGAGACATGGTAGAAATATAATGAAAAGATTAAACACTATGGCTGTTTTATATTAGTTAATAGTCAACTGAGAACAACCTATATTTCAAGAGAAATCTTCAGCAATTAGCTAAGTTTTTTAATGTACATTGGAAAAATTCTTTATAAAGCAATTTATTGGGTACTGTTTTGTGTTTTGATACAACTTCTTACTAGCATGAGCTTAACAAGTCAAATAAATGACTAACATATATACACTGTGTTCTAACCATGAACAGATACATATTTTAAAAAATAAAAGAAAGGGAGCACTTGGCCAAAGGCTTTTGGGAGGGTTTTCCATGGGAGGCTAGAAAATGACACACTGACAGTCGCTAAGGAGAGTTCTCACTTTTCTTTCATCTTTTTGAAGATGGTTTTTACTGTCTTAAAGCACTGTTATCAGCTCCCTGAACTACCTGTCAAAGGTAAGCAATTAACATGCACACTAGCATTTCTGTCTTGAAGCTTGCTGACTTCTCAAAACCATTTACAACTGCAAATATTTTAATTTGCCATATTTTATATGGCAAATATTTATTCTCATTTGAACTCTGACCACAAAACATTTTTTGAGCACCTACTATATACCAGATACTAGACACTGTGTAGATAAAACAGACATGGTCTCTACTATCACTGAGCTTATGGTCTAATAGGAGTTGGCAAAAATGAATGACTAATAAACACACTATTACAGGTTATAAGAAGTGCTATAAAGGGCTATGATAACTACTACAAAGTTCTTCCCTGAAAAAAAAAGGGGGAGGCAGTGTTTTCATAGAATCTAGGATTTGGTGTCACAGAACGAAACCCATTGCCATCAAGTTGATTCTGACTCATAGTGACACTACAGGACAGAGTGGAACTGTGCCATAGCATTTTCAAGGCTGTAAATCTTTATGAAAGCAGACTGTCACATCTTTCTCCCACAGAGTGGCTGGTGGGTTCGAACTGCTGACCTTTTGGTTAGCAGTCGAGTGCTTTAACAATTGCACTACTTGGGCTCCTGAGTTCATAGAATCTTGGATTTAAGATCCTTGAATGTAAGATCTAGAGCAGTGCTGTACCATAGAACTTTCTGAGATGCTGGAAACTTCCTATGTGCTGTCCAGTTTGGTAGCCACTAGCCACACGTAGTTACAGAGCACTTGTAATGTGGCTAAGTAATTTTGCTTAATTTAATTTTAATCAGTTACAAGTGACTAGTGGCCATCATTTAGACAGCACAGACTTAGAGAGGCTTATAAATCATCTAGTCATTTATTTTTCAAATTATGAAGTATAAAACAGTGACCTGGGAACTCTTGGCTGAGGTTCTGAGAAAATAGGGTTCTGTGTTAAAACAAAATTGGCCAATCCTTGTGTGCTCCCCTCTAGTCAATTTCCAATGCAGAGTAAGTTTCTCAGAAGTCCTACAGCAAAGAAAACAGTTTAACTTTGTTTAATTCAGTATCCCCTCAACTTATCTGGGGGAGTATCTTTTACTACTTAACAGCTCTACTGTTCTTTACTGAGAAGTACTGATCTAGTATAATCATCTCATTTTGCAGTTGAGGTAACAAAGGCCTGGAGAAATGGCACCTCCAGAGAAGAGACCTGACTGGATCCTGAAGCACCTTGAAGACAGCAGCAAAGCACAACTACAGCAGAACCTCCAGACGTGGGCACACTTACCAAGCTGGTCTCATGTGATGAGGCTGTTTATAAACACATTTACCTGTTATCTGCCTATTTATCCACTCACCTGCCCTCCCACTGGAGTTACCCATCTAGCTACCTACAGACCTGGTCATTAGTCTATCCACCTTTCATATGCCTTCAAGGTTCTAGGGCAATAGCCAAAGGGGAAAAAAATTTTAGAAAACAGCCAAACATAAAATAAGATCTGTGAACAGCCAAAACACTTAACAAAGTCTATAGTAAAAACCAAAAACCAAACTCACTGCCATTAAGTTGATTTTGACTCATAGTGACCCTTCTTTGGGTTTCGGAGGCAGTAAAACTTTACTCAATTCGATTGCCCAGTTGTCCTTCCACAGAGTGGCTGGTGGGCATGAACCACCAACCTTCTGGTTAGCAGTCAAATGGCTTAGACACTACGCCATGAGAGCTCCTTAAGTCCATAGTGGAAAGCTTATTACCACTCAGAGGAAAGTCTTTAGACGATAGCTAGTCAAAAGTGATCTGCTTTTGTTTTAGATATAGTTCTGATGGATTTATTTATTTGATTCCATATTCTATAGCTAAATATAGTAAATTATTCAAGACCCAGAATTTAGAGGGTCTTGAATACCAGGTTAACTCTGGATATTAACCACTAAGCAACATGAATTCACCAATCTTGGAAAAGGGGAGCAACATCATCAAAGCAATGTATTAAAAAAATAATTTTATGGTGAGGTGTGAGACAGATTACAGTAGAGAAAGAATTGGCTTTGGCGGGGCCTAGGGGTGGGATTTAAAACTGTACCTGAGCAGGATGAGCCTAGACAGAGCTCTTCAGTAGGAGTTCCGCCTAAAGGCCAGGGAAAGGTAAAAGAGCTTCCTGACAAATGACTTAATATTTATATAGTGACCTTCCTTTATTTATTCTTTCTAGTTGCTCTTCTCAACAACACGTTTTGTGGGGGTTTTGTGTTCTCAGTACCTAAAACGTTTATAAATTCAAACAATTACTCATAAAGTCATTCAATAATAAAGGGGTTGTTGAGTAAACACAAAAGACTGGGATTCTGGTTGACAATTACAGTCCTATCAGCCACAGCCTTCAACTATCTCAGTATATTTTTAAAATTTAATTAATTTTGTTACTATTGTTGAGAATATACACAGCAAAACATATACCAATTCAACAGTTTCTACATGTACAATTTAATGACACTGGTTACGTCGTTGCAGATGTAAAACCATTCTCATCCTCTTTCTCTTTCCCCTCCATGAACATAAACTCACTGTCCCTAATGGTTCCTCTCTAATCTTTCCAATTGCAGTTATCAATTTGATCACATACACATAGTTCTTTTTTTTTTCTTTTACATATACATAGTTCTTAAAAGACCATAATATTCAAGGCAGTATCCTGACCTTTCTTTAGTCCTCTATTTATTTTATAATATTTATTCTTTCAAATGTCATTTTTCACTATTTCAATTGTTGCTGCCATAGTCCTTAAAATAAATATTTGTTGGCTAAAACACTGATTTATAGTTTCTAGAATTAAGATGAGCTATACATTTATCATAGGAAAATTTGAAGTAGTTGTTACATCATGTAATAATAAAAAACACTGCACTCAAAGGTACAGAGTCATCTGTGTTAGAATTTTTTTTGATGAGGTAACAACTGTAATATTCAGAGAAATTGCTCATATACTCATAAAGTAAACTAGCTAATATTTAGAGTGAATTTACTTAATGACAAGCAGTTATCTATGAAATATAATGCTAGATTAGACAACATATAAATACAAACCAAAAGCAAGTTATTTTATATTTTCCTTATATCCTATTCTGAAACTCTTATTCCTGTCTGAAAACCCACTAAAATCAACAGTTAAAGAGGATTTTAAGAAGCTAACTCTGCAAGTTCAGGATGAATAGGTGACAAACAACTGCAATAACATTTTGGAGGCTGGAAAGCAAAGGAGTGGCGAGTGAGTCACCCAACCTGAAGAAACAATCCCAAGGCGACGGTGGGAGAGCCAAATCCCAGGCAAGTATGTGGCAGAGTCTCTCAGAGGCTGGGGCTCGGGTGGTACAGTTACCGCTAGAAGCAGGGGTAAAGCACACAGCTATAATAAAGACTGGCCCACTCTCATCTCAGAAAAAGGTCCACCCTCATGTCACCAAGCAGTGTGGCAGAGGCAGTGATGGCCTCAGTTTAGGCCCTGGGTAAGGCTCAGCACTTCCTACAGGGCTGTTTCCTCCTCCCTGGTTTCTCTGCACTGTGACCAGCCTAACATCCTTCAAACACATGCTAAAGGTTCAGTCATGAAACCATGGAGAAATTTCCTTCACTCCTCCCACTGACCTACTTAGCACTAGCTTTACAAAGACAGGAATCAGTTCATCCTTCTCCAGGCACAAACATTTACCTTCTGAAAAATCCTTCACACTTCATTCAGATCCTGGGACAGCCCCACAAATGTTATCTCCTTTGCCATAGTCTAAATCTTGAAAATCCTGGCAACAGGGATCGCACTTGTTAACAACTAAATGGAAAATAAGTCTATGATAAAATGAAAAACTAAGCAGGGTGGATATTGGGATCACAGGGCTGGAAAATGATGAGAATAAGCAGTAAGTTAGGTCCTGGGAGAAGATCACCGATTTGTCATAAAAAGAAAAAATGCATAGTGCTTCTTGCAAAAGAATTGTGAGACAGAAAATTAAATGAGCAGAAACAGAAAAGACACTTCAAAACAGGATAAAAGATTCTAC